AAAAAAACAAAAAAAAAAAAAAAAAAATTTGGGTGAATAAGACATTAAAAAAAATAAAATTGGGGGAAAAAAAATTAAAAAAAAAAAAAAAAAATGGGTGAAAATTTGAATGAAAAGAAAGAAAAAATTTTATGTTGACTGAATGAGAGAAAGAGTGAACAAGAAATGATTAATTATTATTTGGAAAAATATGAAATTTCTATCTCTCATCCATGTGAGAGGCTGGAAATGTTTCTTTACTAGCAATTGTGAATTTTGTCTACTTCAAACATTGAGAAAAAAACAAAAACAAAAAAGAGTATTCAAGTGTGGTAATTGGTTATAGGTGTTGCACGACAAATGAAGTGCAGCATTTAAACGCCCAACTGGCTCTGCTCCAACGCATGTATAAGGATGCGCGAGTAGAGATAAGTGTGCTAAAGGCAGAAAACAAGGAGCTGAAGCGGAAGGCCACCGTGATGTTCCGATTTGGAGGTCCACCATATGCTGCAGTGGAGGAGCAGGGAGGAGTGAACGTGCTCGGTGGATTAGGAAACACGGAGGCAGCACCGTCAAGGGCCGCCCAAGACAGAGGCAAGAAGAAAAGACCGACTGCAGAGTAGAGAAGAAAATCCTGCCTGTGGATGTGGTGGATTTGTTGTTTTTTTTTTTGGTGTAAAATTGTGATCGGGGTGGATCCCCTGATATGAATAAAATGACAAGGTGGTGGAATGTTGTTGGTGTTATTTTGTGTTGTTGTTTTGTGTAATAATAAAAATAAAATAAAATAAAAAATAGATAAAAAAAATATTTTTGGATGGGTTATTTGAGAAAGATCGGTGTGAGGTGGATGACGAAGGGAACATGGATGTTTCAAAATAAAGTGGGGGGTAGTGCCCCTGCAAAAGATGTATTATTATAGAGTGGGTATTTGAAAGAGATTAAAAGTGGTTTGGAGAAAATAAAGAAAAATAAGTGATTTTGAAATCAAACGGAGGAGATTGGGGAAATAAGGAAAGTGGTTCACGTGTTTTTTTTTTTTGGAATGAAAAAGAGAAGATAAAATAAAATAAATAAAGGTAAAGTGGGGTGCAAAAGGTGAAGGAAAGGTGTTGGGGGCGGTGGTGTAATGTTCAAAAAGAAAAGACGGTTTGAAAAAACCAGTGATGGTGTGTGAATCTGTGAGTTAATATTGCGTATTATAATATATTATAATGGTGTGGTGGGAACAAGCCCACGAGGTGACAGCTGAGACACCACATATGTGTAGTTGTTTATGTGTAGTTGATACCAACTTTGTCTGGTACTCATTACTTGGAGCATTATACAACTCCAAATTGAGACCAACCCGGAACCCCTCAATTTCTTTCCGAAACTTGAGAAACAACTCCGATGGAATTAAATCGATCCTATACAGTTCATCCCACGATGTGGGTTCTTCGCCATTCAAACCTGACTCCATTTTCAAGCAAACTGAACTCACACTACAAAGTTCCCAAGTGATTTACTTCTTTTGGGTCATTCAAAATCATACCCAATTACCCAAATCTTTTACACTAAGACTCTGTATGTAAAGCTGAGTTGCAAAGATTAGAAACGACCCGTGTGATGAGAGTGGCCAAGAACAGTACAAACCGAAATCGTGAGGAAACGGCGCCGAAGTGAGCAAATGTTGAAGTTGGCGAACTGGTCGGGCGACGGCATGAGCAAGCGACGGCTCGGGTCGCGGTGTTGGTGTGTCCGGAGCTGACGAAGCCAACGAACAAAGGCGCAGTGAAGGTCAGTAGATCAGGTTGCGGCGGCTGCTGTGGCACCGGCTGCTGTGGTACGTAGGGGCTGCTGCGGTACCTGGGCCAGAATGAAACACCGACGGCGAGTAAGGCTAGCATCGGTATGGAGCTCCTCGGTAACTATACAAACAAAGCATAGCACTGGATTGGTATACTGTTCCTGAAATAAACAAATGTTGAAGGTTATGGCTCTGCACTGGACTGGTATACTGTCCCGGCAACGGAACCACGCTGCCATGGTGAGGAAGGTGGTGGCGCCGACACGGAGCTCCGTTGTGAAGGTGGTGAAGAAGATTCTAGCGGACTAGGTAGAGGTCCGGCGGGCGGCCAAGGCGAGGTTGCCGCCCGCCGGTGAAGCGAAAAATACTAAGTTCTTAAACTTGCTCTGATACCATGTAGAAATTTAATGTATAAAGAGAAATGATTGTATTATTGTTTTGTATTAATTTCAATTACAATGATTCATGATTCCTATATATAGAAGAGGGTGAGTGTGTAGTAGGTAAGGAGTAGGTGAAGTGGAGGTGGTAGTGGTGTAGTGGGTTAGGTTTAGTGGAGTAGGTGAGGTGGTAGTGGTGTAGTGGGCTAGGTTTAGTGGAGTAGGTTTAAGTGGGTGAAGTAGGTGGAGAGTAGGTGGATTTTAACAAAATGTGATTATATGGATGAGGTAGCTATTGATCTTTGATTGACCTGAATTGGCAAGAGGTGGCTCAACCATTAGGTCATTTAGCCTATCGCCTAAGGCCCCCAAGAAATTTTTTAAAAAATTCTTATTGACGAAGGCCCTATTTTTCGGAAGGCCTATTCAAATAAGGCCTCGTTTTGTTGTTTAGTCTAAAGTCTCAAAGAACCTTGAGTTGCTACATATTATAGAAGCATGAAATCGAATAGTGGATTTTATCAAAGTTATTTATTTATTTATTTTTTTAAAACATCTAATCTTGGTAGCTCCTGCCCCTAGATATTCTAACATCACTGTATAAAAATGGAAAATTGCAAATCGGTGAGAAAAAATGAAAATAATTGAAAAAACATGGTGCAAGTAGGTCTATGCTCTAAGTAACATAGACACGGACAGACAACACGATATGGACCCGACACCGATACTTCGATCTTCGAAAAATGCAAGGCACGACAAGCTTGGGACACTTTAAAGTTTTATATTTTTTTATAAATTTATTATATCTCATATATATGAATAATTTATTCAAGTATAATAAAAAAATGTAACAACACTTATTTTACGTTAAAAAGTTATATATTTCATAAATTAAACATCAAGATATCATTTACGTAGCAGTTACATTCTAAACGATGCAAAACAACTACTCCCGCCGTCCCATTTTATTGTTCTATTATTTCGTTTTTTGTTGTCCCAAAATGTATGTTCACTTTGAAAAGTCAACTTTAAATTTAAAAGTTTACAAAATTATCCCTTGTAAAGTAATTATAAATATGTTTAAAAATAAGAATAGAAGGGTGTTTTTGGAATTTTCTCCTTTAAAGTTTGAATTCAAAGTGTAATGATTATGTCTCCTTAATAAGTTTGAATTTTTTAAAGTGACTATTAATTTGGGATGGAGGGAGTATATAACATTATATTACACATAATGTATTATAAATTTTTCAAAACATATTTAGGATGCATAGGTTGTGTTATGAAGAAGGAGAACATTGTTATAAAGAAGGGATTCATCATTCAGGACATATTTGGAGGGATTCATTGTGGGCTCTTCTAAATGCATGAGCTCCAGTGTTGGACACTTGGCACTTGGGTGTATGAGATATGTGTTGGATATACATATGTAATTGAACGTTCACCTAGCGAGCATATTAGTTTGAGTTTACCATAAAAATATGCATAAAATTCTCATATTATGCATGAAACATTATATGGCACCTTGTGAACACTGCTCACCCTAATAAAAAAAAAACCCAAAGTATGTTAAGGAAGATAATTATTTTGCTGTGTCACCGTATCCTTGGACATGGAATTAGATGAATCAGACACATGGACACATATGCGCACCTGAAACTAGTACCTGAGTCAATATAAAGTAGCAGTTGTGTAAGAACATTCTAATAAAGAATTTCTGGGCATTTGTTGGATTTCTTGTTTTAATTTGATTTCTCTATATGAATTGATAATCTGTGGTTTTAGAGTCACATGCTTGATTACTTCTCTTTGATGTATGCAGTCAACACATATGGCTTCTCAGCAGATTACAGAAGAAGCTGTATACTTGTGCACTGGAAATCCATTGCCCAAAGGCATTGAGCAAATATCACACTGGCTTCTGAATGAACAATTTGCAGTTAGTTTTAGACGTATCCAACAAGTGTGGTTTAGTAATGCAATTGTTATAGTAGCACAGTGCAAGTATACAGGAAATTTTGTTACTGTACTCTCTCTCTCTCTCTCTCTCTCTCTTGTCCTCCTTCGGCTACTTAACTATCTGTAGGAATATCTGAAATGAAGGCAAGGAAAGGATTAGCTTTGGTGGATATTGTAAGAGAAGTAACCATGTAAGTGCTCATATTCTTGGTGTTAACTAGGCATGTTATTTGCTTGATCTCATCTTTGAAGCATTGTATGAACAGGTTTGTCTTTAAGATCAAGATGCCACCAGATGTCCGCGTGCAGCTAATTAATGACTTGGCTGATATTGAGTATGCACATTATATCCATGTTTTTCTCTATATTTCTGTATGCCTTGTTATTTGTCCTAGAATGTACCACTAGACTGAGGTCTAACAATATTTCACTTTCAATTGCAAATAGATGCCTAAAAATAGGTTTGGTGACAGATGCATTTATTTAACATTTCGCACAACCACATGATCAAAGAATGGTTGAAAAAGTCGTGTTGTCCTGAGGCTCTTGACACTTCCCATAACTCTTTCTTCCACCTGTATGTTGTGCTTCACGGACTTGTATAATTCAAGTTGGTTTGGGTGCATGGAATGGAAGTTATTCTGGAAGAATGAGATGTATTAGGAATCCTCCCAAACAATACATTCTCTCAAACCTTAAATGGGCATGGATAGAAATATGGATGTTGTACATTGGTCACCTGTTCTCTGTAACATTTTAACATAGAACAGTCAGTATAAGGCTTTAACATAGCATGTTACATGATGATCCACACGGCAAATAGACATGGCTGTGGTTATCTTAACCATTGGAATAAACTAGCACAAACTGTAATAAATAGAGAACAACCACTTCAGATTCTTCTTACGATTATTTTGAGAGGTCCGCACATAATGAGGATGGCTTTAGATTGAGCACATGCTGATGTTTTAATTGCATTGAATTGTATGATTTGTTTTGGTTTTGCAGGTACAGGTTGAGTTTTGGGTGCAATGATAAATTGCAGCTTGGGTCACTTATTGCTACCTTTACACGAGCTCGATCTGCACTGGTTGCAGCTGCAAAGTAGTCAAAGTTATTAGATGGGCACTTGTTGCATTCCGTATGCCTATGATTTGTTTATTATCGTGTTGCTTAAGTAAATAGTTTCATGATGCCTTCTATCTCCTATCTGAAGCTGTTGAAGTGTGAAGAAGGTCTAAGCTTTGTACCTGAAGACTTGAGGCTGTTAAGTTTTGGCCTTTTCCTTTTACCCTAGAGGTATAAACTTGTACACTTTACCCAGCCATATTACTGTATGGTCTCTATCGGCCCTGCTTGACCTGTATGCTGCACCTCTCTCTCTCTCTCTCTCTCTATGTATATATATATATATTTGAACACGTTGTAGCTTGCAGTTTTTGATAATCACTTAACTCAAATCTATATTGTATTAACTTGTGATATACTTGAATGTTTGACAGAGAAACCTTCATTTATGAAAAAAAAAAAGAGGAGAAAATGAGAAAGAGAAGAAAATAAAAAGAGTAATGCTAGAGACTCTAAAAGTTTTATCAAATGTTTTATATGGGTGTGAGACTCACACTATATGGGTCCCATACTTATGTGAGACATTTGGTAAAAATTTTAATAAAACTTTTAGGATCTACATTTTTGAAATAAAAATAAGGTGATTTCTCCTTGTGTACCAATTGGAGAATTTCACCAAAAGAAAAAAACAAAAAGAAAGTATTGAAGAAGAATGTGATTCCAACCGCAACCCCATTCTTTCGGTTTCCCTATCTCATTGCATGTTAAAAAAATAAAAATAGTAGCAAAAGTTGGGAAAACTAAACAATTCTGTAAGGTTGTATTTAGATTATGAATTTAAATAAAAATTTGAGAATGGCAAAGTAAAAAGTGGGTGAAATAAAAATGAAATATAATTTCATTTCACTCACTTTTTTCTTTTGCCTTTTTGAATCTCTAATCAAATCTATGTCTGTAATCTATTTTAGGTGACACTGCCGCTACGATCATGGCACCATCAACCATCAGCTATGATGGATAGTAGTGCAATTACAGACCAAGAAATTTCTAAAGCAGACAATTCGTGGATGGTAACTTTTTTGAACATGTAGATACATTATTTTGAAAAACAAAAAGCACAAAGTATAGTCCATTTACCTCTGTTAAAGAGTGGCGGAGCACTATGTGCAAAAAAGCTCTGCTCCATCCTCCTAATAAAAAATACTCTAAAATGTTTAAATAACTAGCACCTACAGACTGATCTGTACAACAAACTTCTAGAAATGACCCAACCTTTCACATTTTACAATGGCAGCATAAAATTACAAATCTGCAAAACTGGATCTTCAGAAGATATCGATACTCGTGAGCAAATCAACCTCCCAAACTCGATTTGGGATGCAACAATCATTGATGTTCCTTTGCTTGGCTGTTGCATATCTTGCCATGGTTGACTCCACTGCACTTACCTACAAAGTGGCTCATAATTCATCGCCTTCATTAGATATGCTGTTGGACCACGTAATCTCAATTTCAAGTGTTCGGGAAGTCCCATCTTTCGCATCCTTATTGCTGTCTTGGTTAAGGCTGAAGAGTCCACTGTATACTCCTTCACTTACCACTTTGTCAATTTGGATCGTCACTCTACCAAGACTAGTCTGAAAAAAAAAAAAAAAATCACCCACAATTACAACATTGAAAACCATTTGGAACAGAGTTGCCAGTTACAACATGCCACATCATTTCAAGGGGTGAAAAAAAAAACAAGGATTTAATCAAGTTTTTTAAACTTCAATAAAATGCCGATAATGATCATCTTTAACAACCAGTTGATGAGAGGCTTGAAAGTAGACGCATCACAACTAAATCTAATTACCTTTCCAAAAGTAGTTTTGCTTTTGCACAGTATGTGTAGTTTTTGTCCCTTTGGTGGCACATCAAAAGCCCACGTAAATCCTTCATTCCATTCTGGAGAGGTACTGTTGCTCACTACCTAACAAAATAAAGAACCATTTTATGATGAAATCTAGCTATATGTCGATGATATGATAACATCTGAACTATATTCACTTCTTATCATATCACAATTTATGACTACCTTAACAAAATTAAAATATGGAACAATAGCCTCATATTCCTAGATTGTTCTTAGTAGAAAAAGCTTTGATATAGAAATACGTAATACATAACCCAGGACCACTAATTTTCCACTATAGCATGGACATCCATGTGGACACCAAGCAAAATGATGCACAACTATCCAAAAAGATCAAGGTAAGTAAATAATGAATGCTCAAACCTCACACAATAAAGCGGTAAAACACAGACAAAAAAAAAAATTATGCTAGGAAATCAAGTGTTTTTCTACTCTTATTTGAACAATTCACCTTGGTTTGCCGTGGAGGACCATTGCCAATTGTCAATTGACACAGAGCATTTGTCCCTCCCATGACTTGCTTAAGGTTGTTTCCACGTTCAATGGTAACCGTCAAACAACCTGGTAAGCAATGTAATAGGCTGTCCGCTCTCTCCTGGAAACTTGGTGGACATGTTTTCATCAGCATTTGAAGAACAGGAATGGCTTCAGCCGCAATCGTGGCTTGCGATTTTGAGATATCTATAGGCATGTTTGACCATGAATTTTTCAACAAGCATAACGTGTCCAATACAGAATCCTGAGCAGCTTCACTCCCGGACTTGAGTGCTGCTACCAAATGGGGAATGCATAGAGTAGCTGCTTCAGAAACGTGGAGCTTAGGAAAGTTGGTGAATATCACATGTATGGTTTTCAAGACTTCCTCGGTTAAAGTTTCCGTGGACTCTGCCGCTGCATGATGATGCAATGAAAGAAGCTCTATATTAAGTACAATTTGCAGAAAGAAAATTTACATTGTTCACAGCAATCGATGTGTAACCCCAAATAAATAAATAAATTTAATTAAGTGTTCATTATTCACAGCAATCAATGGCCGAGAAGTCCATTGATTCTCTTTAGTTAAACTGGATCACCACTTATATGTTCACTAGTGTTCACAACTCCTTGGCATCAAAGCACTACCAGAAGAGAAACTCCTCATATCTCTATCTGAAATAATTGAGGAGGCCATAATCATGAATAATATGCTTAATTATCATATATCACCCTATATCTGAACCAATTATGTTGTTTCACTCTTTTTTTTTAGACCAAAATAATAGAAGTTTTTATCTATATTGTCACCTTTCATCCACGAAGGATTAATAGGACTTGAAAATCTCATCTACACATATGATCAAATATTGCAAACCAAAAAATAATGATAACAAATGCTATCCTATTCTTTCTAGTCACCCCAATAATCCATTGGTCCCTCAGTGTTAATCTTTTCCCACCAGTCAATTAAAAAAAATGGAAGACAAAACAAATAGAAAAAATGAGAGGAACCAAAGTATTTGAATTAGGACTGATCAGCGGATGTACCGACCCGACCTCATGTGGGTGGATGCATGACTTGTGGCGGGCAGATGCAGGCCCAGATTCTGTCTTTTGCGGGTTCAGGTCGGTTTGCGGTTTATCTGCCAGTGTATCCATTGAACCAGACCCGTCCGCTTTTTGTCTATTTTTTTTTTTCGGCCCCTTTTTTCTGATCTCAGACTCAGTAACCTGAGCCCTAACCCCATTCTTCTTCGATACCGATAGACACACACACACACACACACACACACTCTCTCTCTCTCTCTCTCCCCCCAAAACCCCACCCATATACCGACGGCGATGACGATCGAGCGATGATCTACACTGAAAAGTGATCAGCCATCGACGATCTCAGCCAGCCCTTTTCTCAGAATCTCAGATTAAAACCCTAACCCCATTGGCATTCTTCGACTGAAAGAGGATTGGCGATTGTGGTGTGGTGGTGAGATATTGTCTTCTCTTCTTCTTTTCTCTTCTTCTCTTGTTCTCCTCAATCTCTAATCTGTTCTGTAATTTTTTATTTATTTATTTTTATTCGACTTTGATGACCCCTGTTTTGTCTTGTTCTTTCCTCTTCTCTTCTTCTCTTCTTCTCCTCAATCTCTAATCTGTTCTTTTTCTTTTTCTTTTTGGTTCCAGTTTGTTGCAGTTCTGAAACCAGAGAAGTTCTACTACAGAGTGTGAAGAAGCTTACAGAGAGGTAAACAAGGTGGAAGTTTCCTCTTTTCTTTCTCTCTCCGTACACCAATTTTTCGTATTCTGCAACATTGCTGGCTATGGTGAGAGGTTAATTTAATATTCTGTAACTCAAACTTGTGTTAACAAACTTGAGCACAGAAACATTTGAAGCATGTGCTTATACAAATAACAGATTCAGTTACTATTTGTGTACATCTGAACTTTCATTTCTATTCTTTACCCTTAAAAATAGATCAAATATAGCGTTATTGTTTGATGGAGTGCATATTGGCAAAAGCTCAGAAATCATTCTTTGGTCATGTAATTCATAGTTTGGTTGGTAAGGAAATGGATTGTCTTTATTGAATTTTACTTCTAGCACAAACAGTACCCCCATATCTCAGTTTGTGCTTGCTTTTCTACCAAAAGATAGAGAGACATGTGAACATAGAAAACAAGGAAAAATATAGGCCATGTTTGGTTTATATTTGCAAAACAATTTTCTAAAAAGAGTTTACAAAATTTGAAAATTTGTTTGGTTATATATTTTGAAAATAGATTTGGAATTTTAGAGTTTGGAATGATTTAAAAAGGGATTTTACAATAACCCAACACTTAAAAACACACACACACACACACACAACGAATTACCATCACTCCTATTTACATTTTGTGGAAAGAAAACAATGAATTACTCTGCGACATATGAGAACAACCTTACATAAATATTTGGATCACAATTGAACCAAACATTTTTTTTGTGGACATGCAAGCATGGCCATGGAGTTGCCATTAGTTACTGTAACTCTTTTAAACTGCCATCCAAGTTTTTTTTTATGGAAATCCATATTTGATCGCATTGCACACCATGTCCTCAGATATTCATCAACTTTTACAATTGTTGACCACACTGTTTTCTAACCATTCCAACTCAAATTTAGGAGCAAAATGAGAGAAAAGAAAAGAAACACAAAAGAGAATTGATGAGTCTTTTTTGTTTGATAGGTAAGAGAGTTGGTGGCTATGATATGAAAGTTAAGGAATGTATAATTATATTCAAACTCAAGCCAAAATGAAATTGCAGAGTGTTGGAGTTGCAGAGTGTTGCATGGTGATGTGTGCATGTGCGTGCTTGTACTTCGAAAACATTTGTTGGGAATTATGAATGATTTCTTTTGTAGATGCAAATTGAGTTTGTCTTTTGGTCAGGCACTAAGTAATGCAGTGTCAATACACAAGTTTGACAAACATAACATGCCATCTATGTTCGCTTCTCTGATTGCTATTAAAATGTCTATGTTTTCATGGATGTGATCACACTATATATTGACTATGTATGTACCCAGATTCTCTTGTTCTTCCATTTTTCTATGTTTGTTATTCATTCTCTTGTTCTATGTTTGGTTTTTTGGTAGTTTATTTGATAATCTTTTGGTCATGCATCTTCCAAGCGAAGAAACATTTTTTGAGAATCCTAATGTTGAGCCTGAATCATCTTCTATTGACCCCTCTACCCAACCTAGTGCCCCCCCTCCCAGACCACCCTGGCCAAAAGTAGTAGTAGTGGGAGAACACAATCAAAGGCTTGGGATCGTTTTGAAAAGATTAAGGGTATTGATGGAAAAGATAGGGCTATGTGCAAGTATTGTAAGAAAGAATATATGACAGGCTCTAAGAGTCATGAAACAAGTAATTTATTAACTCATTTGAAAAATTGTACAAAGTACCCACATAGGGATACTCGGGGGCAACAAACATTGGGATTTAAACCTAGAAAAGTTAGTGGAGAGGGTGGTGTTGATGTTGTGGCTACATTATTTTCTATAGAAGTTACTAGGAGGTATCTTGCCAAGATGATAGTAATTGACGAATTGCCCTTTAAATTTGTGGATGGGATTGGTTTTAAGAGGTTTTGTAATGTCATGCAACCCAAGTTCAAGATCCCATCTCGACATACCGTTGCTAGGGATATTATAGATATATACTCTAATCAAAGGGAGAGGTTGGAGAAAATAGTGAAGGGGCGTAAAATTTGCTTTACCAGAGACACATGGACTTCCATACAAAATTTGTCTAACACCACATTTCATTGATGATGATTAGAAGTTACAAAAGAGGATCATTAATTTTTGTCAAATTGAAGACCAAAAGGAGAAACTCTTGGTAAAAAAATTGAGGCATTCTTCAAAGAGTAAGACATTAATGGCCTTTTTACCTTAACCGTTGACAATGCGAGTTTTAATAATCTAACCATTAGATTCTTGAAACGAACCACAAAACTGTAGAAGGGAACTGTCTTGGCCCATGACTTTTTACATATGCATTGTTGTGCACATATTTTAAATCTTATTGTTAGTGATGGATTAAAGGATCTTGAGTCTTGTATAGCGAATATGAGGCATGCAGTGAGGTATGTAAGGTCTTCTCCAAACTGCCTTGACACTTGTAAAAAGTATGTGGAAAGTTTGAAAATTGATAGTAAGAGTCTCTTGTGCCTAGAAGCGCCAACACGGTGGAATTCCACACATCTTATATTAGAGGCGGCGGAAAAATTTGAGTATGCTTTTCAAAGAATGGATAAGGAGGACTACAATTATAAACACTAGTTTTTTGATAATGAAGAGTGTGAGAGGAGAGAGATGCCTACAGCCGAGGATTGGGATAATTGCAAGGTGTTTTTGAAATTTCTTAAAATGTTTTACAATGCAACAAAGAGATTTTCTGGGTCTTTATTTGATATTTCAAATACATTCTACACAGAAATTTTTATCATTGAAAACATGATTGGACAATTAATCAAAGACAATGATCCTATTTTGTCTTCAATGGCAAAGAAAATGAAAGAGAAGTTTGACAAGTATTGGAGAAATTGATAAAATCAATCTCCTTTTTGTATGTTGCGGTTGTGCTTGATCCTCAAAGAAAAATGACATACTTGCAATTTTGTTTTTCAACAATTTTTGGTGGAGATGTGGTGAAAGTGAAAGAAATGTTAGATAAGGTGAAAAATTGTTTGAGTTAATTGTATGATCATTATACCACGCTTGATTCAACAAATGTGCATGCCTCTAATGTAAATGAAACAATAGATATGGCCATAGATGAAAATGATCAACACCCTATTGTGAACTCTCAATTTAACTCATTTTTGGAGGGGCAATTTTATAGTAGTGGGAGTACGTCGGAATTGGACAAGTATTTGGAGATATTGAGAAAGGTGGGAAAAATGCTCAATTTGATATCTTGGAGTGGTGAAAGGTTAATGCAACAAAGTATAGAGTATTATCACTTATAGCACGAGATGTGTTGGCAATGCCTGTTTCCACTGTTGCCTCTGAGTCGACTTTTAGTACAAGAGGTCGTATACTTGATCCATTTCGTAATTCACTTGCTCCCAAGATGGCGGAGGTTCTTGTTTATACACAAAATTGGCTTTGAAGTAACATTCCAATATGCTTTTGACAAGTAATGGATGATGTTGAAGAATTTGAACAACAATATGATTCGGGTAGTATATACAATGATTTATTTTGTTTTAAATTTCATTTATTTTGTATTATTCAAAATTCATTATCTTCACCTCACACGTTTTTGTTGTGTTGTGTTTTATATGTAGTTGTTTCGGAATCAAGTTCATGTTCAAACCCAAGTTCGAAGAGTAGTTTTATCAAAGTTTAGTAACATTGGTAAAATACTT